TCTTTGCAGCTGTCGCGTCCTCTCCAGAATGCTGTGGTATTCTTATCTTCCCATGATGGGCCAGTGTTTGCTTGAACTGACATCATATCCAGACTGACTCTGCAGGAAAAAGAAGTGATATAATAGTGAAGCCTGCTGGAATTTTTTTTAAGTGCAATTACTTAAAAGAGTTACAGGCAAATACCGTGGATGAAGGTAAGTCATGAGTACACCCTGAGCTGTATTGTATCAGGATTTTTTCAGCAATAAAAACAGGTACTGAGTGTTAAGTTTCCAGGCCTGTGGCATGACAGGATCAGTTCAACAGCATGGCATGTGCAAGGAGCACCTGTCAGCTGTCATGGAAAAAAGTAGGTAAAAGTAGGTATGGTTGCCAGACAGGTGAAGGTGACACAGGGCAATCTAACTTCATTAATAGAGCATATTTCCCTTCCTTAAAAACACTGCTAAATTAAAACACACAAACTGTGAGGGCATGGCTTAGCGAATTTAGGAAAAAGTCTGGATAATAAAAACAAGGAACCTGAACTAAATGCAGTGGCAGAGCTAGGTGGATGGTTGGACTTGATGATCTTAGAAGTCTCTCCAGCCTTGATGATTCTATGATTCCATGAAGTGATAAAGATGGTTCAAGATGTATGGATTACAAAGATCTCTTAGCTTTGTAGTGTTTCAAGACAGCAACAGAGCAGTTACCAAGGCTAGTTATCATCAGTAATCACAGTGGGAGATGGTAGCTGCTAGTTCTGGTGACGCTGGGATTTAAAAGGTGCAGGAAAAAAGGATTCTAATAAAATCATGAAAAAAAAAGACACCTAGCCAGTTATCAGCATGCTCATGGGGGGAGAAACAAAGCAAACAAACAAAATACCTACCCTTGAAACACTCCCTCCAAGTGCTGTTTTCAGTGACTTGACCGTGTTTAGGTGAATTTTGATTTTTTACATAAAACAGTGAAGTACAATGTTAATACACTGATTACACAGTTACTGCCTACCAACAGGGTGCCAATGTACCAGTGAAGAAATGAAAACAGTTAATATACTGTTAATACATATATCTCTGGAAGATCATTCACTGTGAATTTTGTGGAAAATTTAAGGAATTTCTTACCGTCCCATAGTCTCCAAAACTGAGTCTGTTAAATCATATGTTGGCATGACAATGTCTTTTGACTCACTGGATCCACACCATGAGAAGATGGGGTGCAGATTCTGTGGGGACTTCTTTTTCTCCAGAGGCCAGTCCCCCAAATTAACAAAAAATTCTACATCTGGCATTTTCACCTAAACAGAAGCAAAGTAGGCACAAATGCATTTTAACACAAAGCAGTAGGCTCCTGCTGGCATCTTGCATTTTGAGAGCAACCTCACCAAGAGGAAAAATTAGCCAGGTGTCTAATATACTTAATGTACCTGTAATAAATCATTGAAGCTTAGACACATGTTAGAAGTGGTGAGACCACAGAGTAAAGTCTACAAGATAGTAAGTTTATAAAAAGATTTGTAAAAAGTCCTATCAATAATCCTTGTTTTTTTTAAGGCATGGGAACACGCTTTTAGAGGATGGCTTCTTGCAATATATACATTGGCCACACAATCTTTGTAATAGGGTAGCACTGAGATCTAGTGAGCAATTGTGTAGTTCCAAGGTACACTGAGCCACCTTGTTACTACATGGAAAACTGCTGGTGGTGGTAAATTACTTTCTCTGTCCTATCAATGAACTGATTCACTCTGCCTGCAGGATGCCTAACGCCACCAAAAGAGAAGAAACAGAAATGAACAGCCATGACAGGAAAACTGCACTTAATCAGGACTGGGATAATAATTAAGCATAACATCCTCACTTATTTAAAACAGTTGGTAGGACAGAACCATACTGGAAATCACTGTCACAGGCAAAAAGCAAGCAAAATACTGCTGATGGTCAGGAAACAGGACAGAGGGTATAATTTGCTGCTGTGTGACACTGTTGCACCCTCATCTTGAGCACTGTGTGTACTTTGGATATTTGCAATCAAACTAAGAAAAGGTACAAAGAAAGGCAGCTTTGTACTCTTCCAAAGCAAGGACCAGCTGCCTTGTGAGGAGAAACTGAAAATGGTGGGACACTTCAATCTGGATAGCAAAAGATGACATGGTGCAGTTTTACAAAACCCTGAAGGCACATGTAATGTCAGTGTAGTACTAATTTTCACTCTCTTCATTTTTACAAAAATACACATCTCCACTACATCTCCCTCAGCTGCCTCTTTCAAAGCAAAAGAAAGTAATAATTTGCCAAATACCAAACACTCTTCTAAATGTCTGAAGAGATTCTTCTCTAACGCCGAGACCCACAGCAGTACTTTCTGCCTTCAGTGCAGACACAGGCAGAAAAGGTTTTGGTGCAGACCTTTGTTCCCAAGGGGGTTTGGCTGCACCTTCTAAATCAAATCCTCAGCATCAACCTTCGTTAGCACAGTGTCACCCAACGGTCAGAATGGGCATAAAACCCACTACAAACTGCTCTGTCCACGTCCTCGGCGGCAGAATCATCCAACAGGTTACATCTTCTTCTCCAATCAACAGATCTGTCGCCTTGATAGAAATTTCTGAAGTATTTAATAGGACTGAGACAAACTGTGTTTTCTAGATCTGTAAACAGTTTCTGTCTTTGGAGTTAGCAAATCTTTTTCAACATTTAGCCTAAATTCCTTAATACAATTTCATTCCATTAGTTCTTGTCCAACACTACTGACACCAAGAACAGTTTAATTCTATCTTCCACAGAACAACTTTTGAGATAATTAAAGGCTACATTCATGTCTTCCCTTAGACACTGTGAGATGAAACAATCCCCACTTAAATGAATTTCAGTCATCTTGTAAAATACACTAGCACAGCCAGAATTTTCTGTTAAATGCTAATGGACGATTTATTTAGTCTACCAAAAAAATCCCCTAAACCTCCTCTGTCCAGAGCTATCAAAGTCTCCACAAAAGCCTGCTACTTCATTAACATTTGTGATGCTCAGATCAGATAGCACTCTAGAACATGCCAACTTCAAATAAGGAAAATCCCCCTGACCTTTCCATTATTAATCACAGAACAAGAGCTTTTTAACAGAAGCAGCAACAAATATGCTGAAGTATATTTGTTAAGCTCAAGATTCTATAGATTAGGACATACAGAATAAGTGACTGTGCACACGTACTCACTTTTCTTGTCAAAGAAAGCAGTATGGCATCCATGAAAATTCTGAAACCAACATGTTCCCCGTATGTCTTTATATAAACCTGAAAATAAACGAAGGTTTTACTGGACTGATGTTTTAATTTCAGAGAATGACTGGCACAATTTAGTGCTCTTTTAATCACTTAGTAACTAGTCAGATTGTATGGCTGTATGGATTTATGAATCAGCTGGGAAGCTTTAGAAATCTCATCACAGAAAAGTGATGAGTGACCAAAAAAATAAATTAAAAGCTTTGCTTTGCTATGCAGACATTTGAGGTCTGTTTCATGGAAACAGAAACGTCGCCTATTTCTGTTGTGTTCCACTGTCCTTATTTCCATATGAAACTCTACTGAAGTCAGTACAGTTTTGTTAGAAAGAACTGTAGCTCTGATCTTCAGTGGAGCTAAAAGTGGTACTTCTTTACCTTGGAATTATGCACGATGTAATTTATTGATGCATGTCAAATTAGATGATCATGACACTTCACAGCAATATTACTCAGAGAACAGGAAACTGAATTAGCATTTTGGAGACTTGGGTGTGTGCCCAGTACTCCTATTGATTGCCTGCAAAGTAATTTGCCTCCACCGTGTTTCAGTTGTAATGTGGACAAAAAGCACTTACAAAGTAGAACAGATATTGCTGAGCTCATACACAAACGGCAAAGTATTCAAGGACAGAGAAACAAAGAAGTTTCTTAAAGAACAGACTACAAGTTTTCAACTGGGAACAGCCAAACAGCCCAGTTGTATGACTTGCCACCAAATCCCAGCATGAACTTCAGATCACAATTCCTACCTCGTTATCTTTGATGGTGTAATGACACAAACTCTGTCTTTGTCCAAACCTCTGTGGAATTTCTTTTGCAATCTTGTCTGGATCAACAGTGGGAAAATTTGCTAGGTCTCTTTGAATCTGTGGAATGGTTTGAGGGCAGCTCATGTCTTCCAGCCACGCACTGCTGTCCTCCTGAGGGCAGTCACAGTTTTCATGGTAAACAGGTCCTATCAGGAATACAATTATTATTTTATTTTTAACAAGTCACACGACTGAGCCGTTGAGATCACAAAACAGGGTCTGGCATGGAGCTGCCATTGCTCAGGGCCAAACCTTCAGCAGCTCTAAATGGACATGTTTGCACATTTTTTTACTCCAATGGAGTCACATCAATCTACATCACTTCTGTGTGAACCCTCTACATGTGTCTGCTATGCCGCAGCCGCACAGCATTTGCTTCTTTTTATTATTTTGGATAATATGCATAGAACACTTATGAATCCATAATTACAACTGGATTTGATAGTTCAGAGAAGTAGTGAGGTCCCACAGAATCCTATGCTAATCCTAGAAGACATTCTGGGACAGAGTTTGTGAGAAAAAGCCACGATAGGAAATCTGTGTGTAGTGCTGTCTCTTACCTTTTAAAATGTATGGAGACTGTGCGACATGTTTATCTCCAGTTTTGACTTCTATCTTCAGGGTGTTGTAGCTTGCATACATCCTGTATCTCACGAGGAAGGAACCATCTTTCCTGTCTAACACCTGCACACCAACCCGAGTGAACTGTTCATCGGGAGCAGTGATCTTCACCTGGAATGCATTTTCACCTGGTGATGAAGTGAACCTACCCAGGGAATAAGTGGGAGCTTAATGACAAAAAAAGCAAACGCACGACAGATTTCTTACTCTGATCTATTCCTTTTCAAGCCAACAGATTTCCAGTGACTTCACGGAGCCACACTAAGCCTCTATGAGTACATCCTAACCTTCACAATCATGGCATGATTTTTCCAATGAGAATTTTGGTAGGCTACCCAGAATGTCTCATGCTGTTGGAAGCATTAGGTATTAAGAAGGTTTCACTCAGTCATGAGCACACCACCAAAATCACTTGGTGCCCTACATGTTGAACAGTGTTGGAAATACGGTCTTTGATTCTACGGGAACAGAGCACCTTTAAAAATCCAGCATAGCTCCTGACTGTAGTAGCTCAGGTGTAAATGATGGGAAGGTAAGAAGCATGCAGATAAATGGATCTTGGTGGATAAATCTTGGTGTCCTGTCCTTCAGGGACAGGACAGGGGTCAATGATTTTAAACTGAAAAAGGGTAGATTTGCCTGGATATAAGCAAGAAATCGTTTACAATGAGGGTGATGAGGCACTGGCACAGGTTGCCCAGAGAAGCTGTGGATGCCTCATCAGTAGAAGTGTTCAAGGTCAGGCTGGATGGGGCTTTGAGCAACCTGGTCTAGTGAAAAGTGTCCCTGTCCTGTCCAGGGAGGTCAGACTAGATGATCTTTGAAAGTCTCTTTTAACCCAAACCATTCTATGATTCTATTAAAAACCCTCTTAAACAAAACCAAACACTAGAAGTTTCACTTTAGCAACTTAATAAGTCTGTGGCTGGACTAAGGGATTACAGCCCAACAGCCTGGTCACCTCTCCTGAAAATCAATCACACATCCTAGCGAGCTCCCAGTTCAACTAAATGCAGGCAATATTTACTCTCCAAGATAAACTGAATTGGCAGATTCCCAACTTGCATGTGCCATGGAGCATCTAATCTGGACAGTCAGGATGGAGCATTCTGAACTCCTTATCTAGGTTGTATGAATGGGGTTTCTTTCCTGTTGAAATGGAAAGCCATGAGTATCCTCTGAAAATACCTATTTCATCCCCATGAAGTTTACCTAATGGCCTATAGAGTAATTCCTAAATGATTCTACTGATCTGTGCCAATGCATTTAGGAGAAACACTGATGTTCCTAACAGTGGAAACAAGCAGGGCAGCTGAGCAGGAATAGCACACATCATAGAATCACAGATTTTTAGGGGTTGGAATAGACGTTAGAGATCATGTAGTCCCAGCCCTCCCTGACATGGGCAGGGACATCTCCCCACCAGACCAGGATGCTCAAGGCTTTATCCAGCCTGGCTTTGAACACTGCCAGGGTTGGGGCATCCACTACTGCCCTGGGCAACCTGTCCCAGTGTCTCAGTACCCTCACAGTAAATAAACTTTTCCTAATCCCTAACTTAAATCTCCCCTTTCAGTTTGTACCCATTGCCCCTTGTCCTGCCACTGCAGCTCCCAACAAAGAGTCCCTCTCCAAGCAGTAGCATTTAGTATCATAAATGAAATAGATTTGTTATTAAGGTTTTGACAAAGGAGAATAAACCATAAACTGTTGGTTGGGCTAAACACATTATGTTTTGCTGCTTAACATTTCCATTCTCTTTTCTCATCTCATCCCTTTGTGCAGTTATTTGATACTCCCGAAAAGATTAATTAGCCTTTTTTACGGGATACACAGAAAAAAAAGTCGCATAGGGAGCCTTCAGAACTATTTTTACAACTAAATCCCAATCAGATTTCTGTCTAAAAGGTGGTTTCAGCGTTCCCGCAAGGGCAGCCGGGCAGGGTGAGGGGGGCAGGACGCTTCGCTCCCGCACAAGGAATGCTGCGATTCCCGCTCAGACCCGGGGCCCGCAAACACTTGGGGGTGCGGG